TTAGGTAAATGTAAGTCAAAGCCATAGTGAGATACTACTCACATCCAGTAGAATGAATGAATGAATTGAACATTGAGACGGGTCTGAGGTCTGAAGCTGCCCAGTGCAAACCAATTACAGCTTAGAGCTTTATAATACTCCCAGGGCAGATGTATCATTTTTGCCTGAGAGCTTGACCAGCAATGTCTATGAAAACAGAGTCGACTGCTGAGTCCAGTGTTTTATGGAAGACAGTAGGTAAAAGAAGAGTTTTCCAAACATTTTCTGTACTTGAGAGGGATCAGATAGCTGCACGTGTGTTCTGACCATTTGAACACAGTAACACAGAATTTCTCCTTAAAGATCACTGGATTCAACTTCCTCATCTTATAATCAAGGGAAGTGAGAAACAGAGATGAAGTGACTTGTGCAGAGTCACCAAAAAGAACTGAGCCTAGAGTCCTGGTCTTTTAGGACTACCAAAGAGAAGAGCATTATTTGCCAAGATGTGATCCTTGTTGGCGTGTGAGTCAAAATTGCCAGTAGCAATGGATCAAAATTTGGGGGGTCTCTTAGACCATTTGGGCTCTCTTAGACAAGTTGGGGGTTGGGAGGGTGCTCAGAATTCTGGGACAAGTGAGAGAACAGAGATTCCTGCAGGCTAGGGTACTGTACTCTTATAACACACACGCCCACCCTCCTTTCTGATGCCCCAATAGAAGACTAATTCATAGACACGGCTTCACGAGAAGCTCAGGGAGATCATCCTATTAAATGCATCGAAGAGTCAGAAAAGAAGTGGGGGTGGGGCACGAGCCATTGCAAGCAGCCGCTGCTCTTGAAGGAGTCAGCTGTACAATACTGGAGGATGCGCTGCAGGCAGGGCCGAGCAGAGTGTGATGAATGGATTCATTTTCAGTCTGAGAAAAAATAAGACTTCTTTGACAGAGCACTTAAATCCTGAATTCCCAGTTCAGTCAAGAGGAGGCCAAAGGAAGCAAAGGGGCTGGTGCCAGGCGAGCCTGGTTGTGGGGCTTGGCCTTTGTGAAAGTGGTTGAGACAGCCCAGAGACCCGTTCTCTCCTCCAAGAAGAGAAGCAGGGGATCTTGAGTGCCCAGTGATTTTATTATTAAAGTGAGATCCACTTCCATCACCCTCTACCCTGCTCTCTGCAGGAGAAAATAATCCTTGAGTATAAAAATGGTACCCAAGAGAGGACCCTAAATTGAGGCAAGGAGGCCCTGAACCCAGGGCCTGAACTAGCTTAACCACAGAATTCCTTTTGTGGCATAGAGTCAGTCACATCATGCCTTTGGATCTCAGTTTTCCCATTTCTACAGCGAAGGGGCAGAAACAAATGACCACTTCTCCCATCCATGACATTTTACATAACTCTAGACCACGTAACCTGGAATAAGTGCTTTGCCCTCTCTGGCCTTAGAGTTCTTGTGGCCAAATGAATGAGCCATCTGTGAGCTGGTCAGGCTCTAGAACATGTTGGGTTTGGGAAACAAGACCCTCACAAAAACACAGGATACAAGGTGACTTCCTACCTAGACATTCTCTAAAGGGAGCCCTCTTTTGCCTTCACCACCCAAATTCAAACTCCTCTTCACTTTAGAAGGAGCAATTAAAGTTGCTCCCTAGAGGGCAACTTTAGCTCCTCCCTAGAGGGGAACTTTAACTTTACCTCCCCGCTAGAGGGGAACTTTAACTTTAGCTCCTCCCTAGAGGGGAACTTTAACTTTAGCTCCTCCCTAGAGGGGAACTTTAACTTTAGCTCCTCCCGAGAGTGGAACTTTAATTGCTCCCTCTATGGAGCAACTTTAATTGCTCCTTCTAAACTGAAGAGAAGGAGTTTGAATTTGGGTGGTGAAAGCTAAAGAGGGCTCCCTTTAGAGAATGTCTGGGTAGGAAGTCACCTGGTATCCTGTGTTTTTCTGGGGGTCTTGTTGCCCAAATCCAACATGTTCTAGAGCTTGACCATCTCATAGATGTCTCATTCATTTGGCTACAATGACAAACCTACAGCCAATATCATATTGAATGGGCAAAAGCTGGAAGAATTCCCTTTGAAATCAGGCACTAGACAAGGGTGCCCTCTCTCATCACTCCTATTCAATATAGTATTGGAAGTTCTAGCCAGAGCAATCAGGCAAGAAAAAGAAATAAAGGGTATTCAGTTAGGAAAGGAGGAAGTCAAACTGTTTCTATTTGCAGAGGACACAACTGTATATTTAGGATGCCCCATCATCTCAGCCCAAAATCTTCTCAAACTGATAAGCAACTTCAGCAAAGTCTCAGGATACAAAATCAATGTGCAGACATCACAATCATTCCTATATACCAAAAACAGACAAACAGAGAGCCAAATCAAGAGTGAACTCCCATTCACAATTGCTACTAAGAGAATAAAATACCTAGGAATACAACTAATAAAGGATGTAAAGGACCTTTTCAAGGAGAACTACAAACCACTGCTCAACGAAATGAGAGGACACAAACAGATGGAAAAACATTCCATGCTCATGGTTAGGAAGAATCAATATCGTGAAAATGGCCATACTGCCCAAAGTAATTTATAGATTCAACGTTATCCCCATCAAGCTACAAATTACCTTCTTCACAGAACTGGAAAAAAACACTTTAAACGTCATATGGAATCACAAGAGAGCCCACATAGCTAAGACAATCCTAAGCAAAAAGAACAAAGCCGGAGGCATCACACTGCCAGACTTCAAACTATACTACAAGGCTACAGTAATCAAAACAGCATGGTACTGCTACCAAAACAGAGACATAGACCAATGGAACAGAACAGAGGCCTCAGAAGCAACACTACACATCCACAACCATCTGATCTTTGACAAACCTGACAAAAACAAGCAATGGGGAAAGGACTCCATGTTTAATAAATGGTGTTGGGAAAACGGGCTAACCATGTGTAGAAAGCTAAAACTGGACACCTTCCTTACACCTTACATTAAAATTAACTCCAGGTGGATTAAAGGTTTAAACATTAAACCTAACACCATAAAAACACTAGACGAAAACATAGGCAAAACCATTCACGACATAGGCATAGTCAAGGACTTCATGACTAAAACACCAAAAGCAATGGCAATGAAAGCCAAAATAGACAAATGGGATGTAATTAAAATTCAGAGCTTCTGTACAGCAAAAGAAACCATCATTAGAGTGAAACAGCAACCAACAGAATGTGAAAAAAATTTTGCAGTCTACGCATCTGACAAAGGGCTAATATCCAGAATCTACAAAGAACTAAAACAGATATACAAGAAAAAAACAAACAACTCTATTCAAAAGTGGGCAAAGGATATGAACAGACACTTTTCAAAAGAAGACATATATGAGGCCAACAAACATATGAAAAAATGCTCATCATCACTGGTCATTAGAGAAATGCAAATCCAAACCACATCAAGATACCATCTCACACTAGTTAGAATGGTGATCACTAAAAAATCTGGAGACAACAGATGCTGGAGAGGATGTGGAGAAATAGGAACACTTTTACACTGTTGGTGGGAGTGTAAATTAGTTCAACCATTGTGGAAGACAGTGTGGTGACTTCTCTAGGATCTAGAAACAGAAATTCCATTTGACCCAGCAATCCCATTACTGGGCATATACCCAAAGAACTATAAATCGTTCTACTATAAAGACACATGCACACATACGTCCACTGCAGCCCTGTGTACAATAGCAAAGACCTGGAACCAACCCAAATGCCCATCAACGATAAACTGGACAAAGAAAATGTGGCATATATACACCACAGAATACTATGCAGCCATAAAAAAAACTATAAGTTTGTGTCCTTTGCAGGGACTTGGATGAATCTAGAAACCATCATTCTCAGCAAACTGACACAAGAACAGAAAACCAAACACTGCATGTTCTCACTCACAAGTGGGTGTTGAACTATGAGAGCATGTGGTCTTAGGGAGAGGAGCCTCACACACTGGGGGCAGTTGGAGGGGGGTGGCTAGGGAAGGGACAGCGGGGGGTAGGGAGGGTGGGGAGGGATAACATGGGGAGAAATGCTTGATATAGTATGTACCTATGCAACAACCCTGCATGACCTGCACTTGTACCCCATAACCTAAAGTAAAATTAAAAAAAAAAAAAAAAGTTGCTCCCTCTGAAGTACAAATGATCCATTCACTTCATTATCTGAATTCCTTGCACATGATAGATACTTGATACACATCTCTGAATGAAGAAAATAATTGGACTCAAATCACTCTTAGGTATGCAGAGCCCTCAGGGCTCACCCTCCAAAGAGATTCGTCTTTTCAAACCCAGATCCAAAGACAGGCTTTGGAGGTTGGTAAACGCCCTGCAATCACAGGTAATGCCTTACAGGCATGTGTGTATATAAGTGCTCATTTCTAGAGAGAAGGTCTATAACTCTCATCAGATTCTCAAAGAGAAAATGTGTCTCCTTTTGTTGCTCCCCCACCCAAGCTTGGGACCCAGCTCACACTATGCTTATGAGTCCGCGCAGACCTCAGCGGCAGAGCAGTCATGGCCCAGGAAATAGCGCATTTGGGGTGAGGTCTCAGGCTCCAAGGATGTGGATAGGTGAAGTATGCAAGACCACAGAGCTTAACCACTGAGCCAGGGACAGAAGGATGAAGGTTCCCAACTGTTTAGGGCCTCCTAGTTCCCTTCTCTCCATTGGAGATGATTTGTTTTGTGTCTTTAACCTCATCTCACCTGAAAGGTCCTCAAAGACAGGGACTTTGCATTCCCAGCCTGCACTAACAAGCTTCTCACATGAAGCTGGGGTTTGGTATGTTCATGTTGATCTGAACTGAACTTAAAATTTGTTACTTCCTCGTCTGACCTAGACAAACTCCTAATACCCAGGAGACCTATCACCAGGCTTCTCCGATAACTAAAAAGCCTAAGGACATATTTAGGCTGTGTCAAGTCCTGGACTTTGCTGGGGTTGAGTAGCTGGGGTGAAATAGTGGCACCAAATAAAAGGATACTAAACAAAGGTGGAGCCATCATAGAAGGTGTAATGCAATTTAAAGGCCTTCTTGGGTACCTTCCCCTCTTGAGATTGCTGACTAAAGAGAAGATGGTGGGCAGAAGATGGTTGAGGGGTTGGGGTGAGAGTCTGAGCACTCGCAGTGGGAGGGTAATGTAAACTCTGGGTCTGAGAGTCTCCTTTGCGGGGCGATGTTAGATGAGAGGGCATCTTTGCCTTGTAGTTTCGTAAGATCATGGGGTTGGAGATATTCTTCCCTTTCCACGTGGCCTTTTCGGCTTCTCTGCAGAGAAGGAGACCAACATATTTTCAGCCTCTTGGTTCTCACTCACCACAGATGCTCTCTATAGCCCCTCCTTAGTGCCCAAGCCCCCATCCCATTCCCCTGTCCCCAAAGTACACGTCCCCAACCCATGCTCCTTTATCCATAAAGGTAGTTTTTGGGAAGAACTGGGAGTTCCCGCTGCATCTCTAAGAACAGCCCTTAGCTGATTTCCACCTGAGCCTGAGGGTGAGGATCTATATAGTGGGACTGTGTATGGAAGTTGCCAGAGGGTTGGGAGGATCCTGGGGTTTTGAAGACCTTGCTCACCCTAGCTCCTGAAGTTTTGGAGAAGAGAATTTCCTTCCAGAGTGTCACAGTGAGGGATCAAACTTGAGTGGCTGTCCTCTCCCCATGTGCTGGCCCAGTGACCCCAGGAGACGTATATGACTAAGCTATTAGATGTGAACAGGCGCTTAAATCCTTTACAGACAATGGCCTGGGCCCTCAGAGAAATGCTGAGTAAATTGTGAGGGCTTATGGGATGGATCCACAGAATGATAAAAACCACTAATCACCCATGTCAAGGGTCTTTTTGGTTTGTTTTCAGAGCTTTTTGTTTGTCTTGTAGAACAGCTAGCAAATAAGAAACAAACAGTCAGGGCACAAGAACCCTAACTGCAAGGAACCACACAAAGGGATGTCCCCAGCAAGGCGCTGAGGAGGCAGAGAGCATTACTGGGCAGGGGCAGGAGGCATGCCACTGGAGCTGCATGAGCTCAGGCAACTCCTTACCCACATACCTGCTTAGGCTGCCTCAGTTTCCCCATCCACAAAATGGGCATCAATCCTGTCTTCCTTGCATGGTTGCAGTGATGCTGTAGGGAGGATGGTGAGCAGGGAAGGACAGGAGTGTGTGTGTGCCTGTGAGGGTCGCTGCACCTGTGGCTGTTGTGGGGAGTACCACATAACCCATGCTCCCAGGCGGCATGTCTCACACTCCTGTGACTATCCACTCACACACAAGCAGGGGCTCCCAGCTGGAGCTGAGCTTTCTGAGAAGCCCTGCCTCCCCCAACCCAAGCACTGAGGTGCTCACATGTGGCGACACAGCTCCTGCAGCTTCTTCCGGGCCTCAGGGCAGGGGTCGCTGAACTCCAAGTTGTTGGCAGAGGTTCCCACTCCTTGATGCAGGGGCAGCATGCTGATATCTTCTGCAGTTCTAGACTTGCCTGTAGTTAGAGGGGAAGAAGTTAGGGATCTGCCCAAGACCATGGGAACCCACCTTTTGCATCAGCATGACCTGGATGTGAGACCTGGAGTCAAAGGAGATCGTTTTGGAGCTTTAAAATCTGTCCCACTGGATTTTGGAGCTGCATGGGCCCTGTAACCCCTTTGTTTTGGCCAATTTTTCCATTTGGAACGGCTGTATTTACCCAATACTTGCACCCCCACTGTGCCTACGAAATAACTAGCTTGCTTTTGATTTTACAGGCTCATAGGTGGAAGGAATTTGCCTCGTCTCAGATGAGACTTTGGACTGTGGACTTTTGGGTTAATGCTGAAACAAGTTAAGACTTTGGGGGACTGTTGGGAAGGCATGATTAGTTTTGAAATGTGAGCATGGTCAGGTGCAGAGGCTCGTGCCTGTAATCCCAGCACTTTGGGAGGCTGAGGTTGGCAGATCACCTGAGGTCAGGAGTTTGAGACCAGCCCGGCCAACATGGTGAAACCCCATCTATACTAAAAATACAAAAATTAGCTGAGTGTGCTGGTGTGCACCTATATAGTTCCAGCTACTCAGAAGGCTAAGGCAGAAGAATCTCTTGAACCTGGGAAGTGGAGGTTGCAGTGAACCAAGATCACACCACTGCACTCTAGCCTGGGTAACAGAGTGAGACTCCATCTAAAAAAAAAAAAAAAAAAAAAAAGAGAAATGTGAGGACATGAGATTTGGAGGAGCCAGGGGCAGAATGATATTGTTTGGCTGTGTCCCCATCCAAATCTTAACTTGAATTGTGTCTCCCAGAATTCCAATGTGTTGTAGGAGAGAACTGGGGGAGGTAACTGAAGTATGGGGGTGATCTTTTCCATGTTATTCTCATGATAGTGAATAAGTCTCATGAGATCTGATGTGTTTATCAGGTGTTTCTGCTTTTGCTTCCTCATTTTCTCTTGCCACCACCATGTAAGAAGTGCCTTTCACTTCTCACCATGATTCTGAGGCCTCCTCAGCCATGTAGAACTATTAAGTCCAATTAAACCTCTTTTTTCCCCAAGTCTTAGATATGTCTTTATTAGCAGCATGAAAACTAATACAGGAGGGGTTTCAGAAAATGGTTTCTCAAGACATTGTGTTCACCAGGGGACATGGGGCTGGGAAGAGCAGAAGAGTGGCATCCTTTAAGTATCAGAATATTGGGGGTAGCATTGATGCTCCCCATGAATTGTTGATTGGTCAGTTATCAAACAGAAATGTTACTCATACTGCGAGTCATCTATGAAAGATGTGTCAGGGACTGACTTGTGCAAAGTGATGAGACTGGCCATGTCTCCCAGGGTGTCCTTAGGCAGTTGTCAGGTGGTATGAACATTTGGTCATGTGGAGTTGTGGTGGCAATCCTCCCACTGTAGGTTCCAGGGTCATCTGTTTAGTCATTTGTGTCAGGTCCTGCCTACACTGAACCTCTGACTCCCACCCAGCTGCAGCCTCGAAGTATGTAGGCTCAACTTCACCTTGGATTTGAGGATAAAACCTGGCTTTGGGTGAGGGCATTTCTCAGGCTCTAACTGAAGCTCTGAGGACTTAAGAATGGAGCCTTCCTTGCTGCTGGGGAAGCCTGGGGGTTTCTGGCCAGTGCTTGAGGACCATCTCTGGTATCTGCCACCCTGAATTGTTCCTGGTCCTTCCCCTACTTATTCTGTCAACAGGGGACAGAGACTGAACCCTGAGCTCAAACCTAGGGCCTGAGGTTCAGTTACCTGCTGGCTGGCCATCTGCTGGATTAAACCTCCATGTCTGGCCTGCCTTAGGCTGCCTTGGGCTTTTCAAAGGTGACAGCCTCATGCTCTGACTAGGTAGTGCTATCAACAGTTCTCTTCTAGGCCGGGCGTGGTGGCTGAAGCCTGTAATCCCAGCACTTTGGGAGGCCGAGGCGGGTGGATCACGAGGTCAAGAGATTGAGACCATCCCGGTCAACATGGTGAAACCCCATCTCTACTAAAAATACAAAAAATTAGCTGGGCATGGTGGTGCGTGCCTGTAATCCCAGCTACTCAGGAGGCTGAGGCAGGAGAATTGCCTGAACCCAGGAGGCGGAGGGTGCGGTGAGCCAAGATCGCGCCATTGCACTCCAGCCTGGGTAACATGAGTGAAACTCTGTCTCAAAAACAAACAAACAAACAAACAAAAAAAAAAACAGTTCTCTTCTTGTAATGTTGGACATCTTCCAGAAATAGCTGTCCCCTCAGGGCGTAAGTCCAATTCCTGGAGCTGATGCTCAAAGTCAGTCTGGTCCCAGAACTGCCAGGAGGGAAGATGGAATAGCATGTGGACATGGAATGGATGGGGGAGGCCCTCAAATCCAAAGTGACTTCAAACCAGAATGGCTATGGCGAAATCAGGCATCATTCATACATACGCCATCAGACAACAGGCATAAACTGGGACATTCCTGGGCTAGCTAGGACCCACAGTTACTTATAAGCTATGAGGCAAGGTTAATCAACCATGCTAGCATGCATCTGTGAGCCTAATTCCTAAACAAGATTAAGACCCTATAATACAGTATCACTGAATATACATCCTAGTGTGAATGATGCAACAAGGTGGTCAAAAGTTGGGTGGAAAAGGAAAGCAGCCACGTAGACAAGGAGGCCAACAGACATGTAGCAGTCCCTCCAATCCTTCAGGGATACATTCTGGACCCCTAGTAAATGCCTGAAAATATGGATAGTACCAAACCTGCATATGCTATGCTTTCTACATGCACACTTATGATAAAGTTTAACTGATAAATTGGGCCCTAAGAGATTAACAATAACTAATATGAAATAGAAAAATTAAAACAATATATTGTAATAAAAGTTAGGTAGAGGGGTGGGGAAAGACAGCTAAATAGAAGGCTCTACTGATTGTCCTCCCCATAGGAACACCAAATTTTACAACTATTTATACCAAAAAAAAAAAGCATCTTCAAAATAACCAAAAACAAGGTGAGCACTCATAGTATCAGATTTTAACGTCACATTGCTGAAAGAGGTACTGCAGAGGTAGGAAAGACAGTCTTGAATTGCTGACACTGCCCCTCCTCAGCAGCAGCTGCATGGCACAGAGAATTGATGCCTTTGGGAGAGGGAGAGTGCAAGGATTGTCAGACTTTACATTGAACTCAGTGCTTCCCTGTCACAGTGGAAAGCAAAACCAGGATGAACTCAGCTGAAGACCACTCATGGAGAGAGCATTTAGACCTGCCCTAGCCAAAGGGAAATCACCCATCCTAGCAGTTGCATCTTGAGTTTTGGCAAGCCTGTCCACTGTGCACTAAAGGGCTCAGGAGTTCTAAGTAAACTTGAAAGGCAGCCTAAGCCACAAGGACTGCAACTCCTAGACAAGCCTTAGTGCTGAGCTGGGCTCAGAGCCAGTGGATTTAGAGGGCATGCAACCTACTGCGACACCAGCTGGGGCAGCTAAGGGAGTGCTTGCGACACCCCTCCCCCAATCCCAAGTGGTGTAGCTCATGGCTCCAAGAAAGACCCCTTCCTTCCACTTGAGGAGAGAAGAAGGAAGAGTAAAAAGGACTCTGTTTCGCATCTTAAATACCAGTTTAGTCACAGTAGGATAGGGTACCAGTCAGTGTCGTCAGGCCCCCATTCCAGGCCCTAGCTCCCAGATGACGTTTCTAGATACATCCTGGGCCAGAAGGGAACCCACTTCCTTGAAGGGAAGGACCCAGTCCTGTCAGGACCCATCACCTGCTGACTGAACAGCCCTTGAGCCCTGAATAACCTGTAGTGATATCGAGGTAGTATTCTGTGAGTCTTGTGTGAGACTCTGAGATGTGCTGGCTTCAGGTGAGACTCAGCACATTCTCAGATGTGATGGTCACAGTGAGGGACTCCTTCTGCTTGAGAAAAGCAGAGGGAAAAGTAAAGAGGACTTTGTCTTGCACCTTATTTACCAACTCAGCAATGAGGGGGCAGAGCACTAAGGGGCTCTTGGGGTCCCTGATTCTAGGCCTTGGCTCTTAGATAGCATTTCTATACCTGTCCTGGGGCAGAGGGGAGTCCCAGGCCTGATGACATTCATCACCAACTAACTGAAAAGCCCTTGGACCTTAAGTGAACAGTGGGAGTAGCCTGGCAGTAATCCCCATGGACCTGGTGGTGGTGGCCAAAAGGTGGGACTCCTTTGCCTGTGGAAGAGGGAGGGAAGAGTGGGATGGTCTCATGGCTTCAGTGCCAGCTCAGCCACTCTCAATATGTTACAATAAAACATCAGGTAGATTTTTAAGATTTTTGACTCTAGTTCTGGCTCCCAGACAGCATCTCTGGACCTGCCTGGGGCCTGAGGGAACTCTCTGTCCAAAAGAGAAGAACAGAAACCTGGCTAGCTTCACCACCTGCTGATTGTAGATCCCTAGGGCCTTGAGCAAATATAGACAGTAGTCAGGTAGTAGTTACAGCAGGGCTTGTGCAAGACCTAGTGCTGTGCTGGCTTCAGGTTTCACCCAGTGCAGTCCCACTGGTGGTGGTCACAGGGGTACTTCGTCGTCCCATCCCCAGCTCCAGGTGGCTCAGCACAGAAAGAGGCTCCATTTGTTTGGGAGAAAGTAAAGGAAGAGAACAAGAGTTTCTGCCTGGTGATCTAGAGAATTCTGGATCTTATCCAAGACCACCAAGGCAGTACCTCTCTGAGTCTGCAAGAACCACAATGTTACTGGGCTTGGGGTGCCCCCTAATGCAGATATGGCTTAGATTGTGTCACCCAAGCCCTTTCAAATACCTGGAAAACCTTCCCAAGAAAATAAAGTACAAACAAGCCCAGACTGTGAAGACTACAATAAATACCTAACTCTTCAATGCCCAGACACTGATGAACATCCACAAGCATCAAGACCATCCAGGAAGACGTGATTTCACTAAATGAACTACATAAAGCACCAGTGACCAATCCTGGAGAAACAGATATGTTACCTTTCAGACAGAGAATTAAAAATAGCTGGTTTGAGGA